GTGTGGACGGCTGCCGCGCCGGCTCTACTGCGGCCATACGTTCTGCCAAGCTTGCCTGAAACGCCTTGACGCTGTTGCCAACGAGCAGCGCTGGATCCCCTGCCCACAGTGCCGCCAAAATACGCCCACACCACGCGGTGGTGTTGCCATGCTCGACCTCGACCTGGCCACCTTCCTTGCTGTCAAGGCTGACAAGGAGCATCCCCAGATGGCCAGCAGGTCCCAACCCGACTTGGCCACCAAGGGCTTGTGCAAAGAGAAGGTGATCACTCAGCAGCCGGTGGGGCTGTGCCAAGACGCGGTACCTCCGGTGCTGTTCCCCCGACACAGCTGCTGCCGGCCGTGCCTGTGCTGTGGGGTGACGGCAGCCTTTGAGAGCTGAGCACAAGGAGGGGACTGCCAATGATGCTTGGGCAACTGAGTACCTGGGGTGCAGTCTGGGACCATTTTTGGGGACCCTATGTCATGTCTTAGACCCACATATGGACAGTAGGCGTGGGGCTGTGCTGGCAGCCTGGGAAGGGCTTTAGCTTGCTCAGGGCTTGCTGTCCATCCTGCCAGGATTTGGGGTGCACCAGGGGGGATGAGGATGCCCCCACCCATTCATCCTGCCTGCCTGCCCCTCTGACAACTTAGAAACCTGGTCCAACCATCACAGATGTCCCCTGGTCCAGGGCTTGCTCATGCCCAACTCCTCCATGCATGTGATTCTGCAGCAGGGACAACCCCTCTGAGCATCGCCCAGGCAGGGGACACAGGTGCCTGGCACAGCACAGCGACGCAGCGATGCTCTGGGAAGCACGTCCAGCACCCTGAAAGCTTCACGCCTATTAAACAACGCTCTGTTGGCCCTGCTGGCCTGCATGTCTTGGTCATATTTGTCAGTAAACCTTGGGCTGGCCCAGGGCAAGCCGTGCCTACAGTGGGGGTGGGACGGGGAGTGGTGACCTGCCCTACTGGATTACTTTCCTTTGCTCTGTTGGCCATTTGCATGAGAAATTTGGGTGTTGGGGTAGCAGGACAGTTGAAATCAAGGATGATAGAGTTGTTAGGAGGCCATAACACATTGCTCCAGCTCTTTGGCTTTATCTGTCCACCACCTGCTTTGCTCCAGTACAGGAGGAGAGCTGAGCCCACGGGAGCTCCTGCTTGACCTTGTGCTCTGTGGCTTATGCCAGGTTTGGTTTTTCCTGCCTGACCCTCTCCCCGCCCGCAAACCCACGCACAGCCCGTACGCAAGCCCCTCGGCTATTTTTCCAGGTCATGGCTTTGCTGCCAGCACGGCTTTCCTTGCCTGATCCCAAACAAGGGGTGCAAGGAGGACAGCCCGAACAGCTGGGTGTGGGTTTAACAGAGGGCAAATGGGGAGGACCGGGGTGCACTGGGGTGATACTAATGCAGTTCTTGGGCAGCTCTTGTGGACCTTCCTCATAGCCCATTTTCTGCATCTGTTTTCCATGTGGTTGATGAGCTCTTGCAATGTCCCAGCATCAGGCACCACTGGCTGCCCCTCGGGGCTCAGCGGGGGACCCCAGCCTGTGCCTCCCTGGGGCCAGCAGTGATCTCGTGTCCCCTGGGCAGTCCTGGTGCTTGGCTGTCCCCTGTACTGGGTGCCAGGGCTGCAGCCAGAGGAGTCCAGCACCCATGCCGTGCACAGCACCCACCCTGTGCACAGCACCCATGCCATACACAGCACCCACGCCGTACACAGCCCATGCACAATTCTGCCACTTGGTGTCACCTGCCATAAAAAAGTCAGAGCTGAGATGTTCCCAGCGGAGCCCAACCTGGGGAGCTCCAGCCATGGAAGCAGGAGCACCAGGGATGTCCCAGGGCGGAGGTGCCCAGAGGGGACAGCAGAAGCGTGGTGTGGTTCAGGGACTCCATGGCATGGGCATCTGCCTGCCTCGGATCTTTAATTACGTGGAGGCATGCAATAAATTAAAGCCTTCAAGGATGGGATAAAAGCAAACACAGTGTCTTAAAGCACCTTCCCCTCTCTCTTCATTTCTCCGCAAATACTCCATGGTGGGTGGTGGGAAGAGCCTGGGAAGGGTCCATCCCTACCCAGGGCATGGCTCCGTACAAAGGTGCCAGCAGGACTTTGTGCTGAGCCCAGCACCTTGAGTCCCAGCTTTCCAACAGTGGAGGGTGACAAAGACCCACGGCTCCCTGTCCCTCGCCCCAGGTCCTTGCCCCTGTGCTCCCGCCCCTGCTCCACTGCATCCCCCCAGCACCAGAACCAACCTGTGAAGCTTGGCCCTCGCCATGTGCCTCTGGGCATGTCCCTGCTGCTCCCAGCCAGTGACCGGTCTCTGAAGGACGTTATCTGCCCCTCCATCACTTCGTTGTGGGAACGGTCTTGGCATACTGGCTGGGCACCCTCATTTACACCCCTTGGCCAGAGCAGGGCTAGTGTTGAGCCCTGTGCCTTGGGGGACTCCTCCATCGATTAGCACAGGCCACCTGAGCTGTCCTTGCAGAGCGGATACTCGGAGCAGCCTCTCCTGGTGCTGGCCCTGGGGCCAGGCTGTGCTGTTCTGCTTGGAGCCCAAAACCGCAGGAGGAGGAATCGCAGCAGGGGAGCGGGGCACCGATGGGTGCAGCCCTGGCTGGGGACAGGGACCTGAGCTCTTCCTGCAGGGTGCTGGGTCCTCCCCTTTCCAGAGAAGGGGGCAGTGACAGGGACCCGTGCTCTGCTGAGCACTGGCAGCGTGCATGAAGGGGCAGCGGTGGCACTGCTGGGGTACTGGACCCCAAGGGGTCACCAGCCTGCAATTGCAGCGAGGTGCGGCCAATGTATGCAAAACAGGAGTGGGGCCAGGCACAACCAGCACGAGCCCTGTGTTTGGCCGGTGTCCCTGGCAGGCAGGACACTGGGGACATTTCTCCTGCCACACGCCATGGAGGTGCGTGGCGGGGTGACAGGCAGGGGCTGGCGGAGGAGCTGAGGTGGGTTTGCAGCCTCCTGGGCTCTCTAAGCACAAAAGCTGGAAATGTTCTTGCTTTTAATAGTTTGTTGGGTTTTTTTCCCAAGGAATTTTGCACTTCTCACCTGATCCCAGGTGGCCCCAGGCAATGGGCAATGCAGCCCCTGGGGAGGAAGAGCATTTTGAGACAGGGCTCCCTAAATATTCAGGTCCCCGTGTAGCCCGTGGCTGCTGGTGGGCTGAGCTCGTGCTGCAGCTCCACGTGGCTGCGGGTTTGTGCCCTGCTTCAGGGCTGGGCTGGGCTGGAGGATTCCTCTGAATTATTTCCAGATGGGGATTAATGCAGCAAACCGAGTTTGCTGCAGGATAGATAAACAAACCAAAGCTCCTCTGGATGCTATTAATAAACTGCCTTCCTGCTGCTTCTGCCCCAGATTTGGGAACATCCCCACCCTGACCTGGGGTGCAGCTGTGTACTGCCTTGCTGCCCTTCCAGCCCTTTGGCCGTGGGGTAGAGGTGCCAGGGATTCCTGTGGGACCGTGACCACCAAGGTCCTAAATGAGACAGGAGTTGCAAGGGTGTGAGTGGGGGAACGGCATCTCTGCTCCAGGTCCCCGCTCTGGGCTGTGAGTGGGATGAAGTGCTGCTGGCCGTGTCCCCTGGTCCCTGGGTGTCCCCTGAGCTCTACCAGGGACGGTGGGTGCTGGGAGGTGACACCTCTCCTCTCCTGCTTTCTGCTGCAGGGCTTCAGGCAGCTTTGAAACCAGAGCAGGTGTAAACAGGGTGGAGGCAGACTTTGAGCCCTCTCGAACCGGCGCTGTCGTGTCGGAGTGAGGGTGAACAAGTTTGGGGCGACTGCAGCCCGGTAAGCTCACCTTTCCCATGCCTTCTCATGTGGGGGCTCCTGGATGTCCCCCACTGTGCAGACAGACCTGTGATCCTGCTGGGAAGGAGGAGGAGGGTGGCCCATGGGACTCACAGCCCAACCCTCTTCATTTTGGTGTGGCTTGTGGTCTCCTGCCAGGGGCAAACAGAGCCTGGTCAAGGGCTGCGCTCTGCAGGGTGGCCTGTGGCTCCCAGCAGAACTCTCCATTGAGGACCTCTGGGCATGGCGGGGC